GAGTGCAGATTAGTGAGGGACTACTGTACTGATCACAACAATTGCAATTTACAGACTCAGCCCAAGCCCAGTCCTGGTGATTGTGTGGGACAGATTCGGATCTCCCCTGTGCCCGCTGGACCTCTGCAGACTAAGCACAGGCTCGCTGAATGAGTGAGACTTTGCACCATGATCTTGGGACCCCGCCATTTCTCTGGAACCAGGCCAAGCCCACTGTGTGAGTAAGAACTTCTGCTGCGCCCTCTGGACTCCTCCAGACCCAGCCCAAGCCCAGGCCCTGCAAGTGTATATGAGAGCTTCCACGCTCCCCTGTGCCCCCTGGATCGCTCCAGATGCAATCCAGGCCTTGCATACAGGCCAGAGGTGAAACACTGCAGCTGAAGTCCCTGCAGAGAGACGAGGAGCCAGAACCACCCAACTAAACTAGGAGCAGAACATCTCTCAAGAGGGGAAAAACAGGATCATTTCCTAGGGCTGCAACAGGAAAGAGCTGAGCACAGCAGCCAGACCCAAGCCAGGTACAACTGAATGAACTCAAGTGTAGTAGATCTGTACTTGAATTTCAGTAGGTGATGAGGTTATAACTGCACCAAAGCACTACAACTAAGGTCAGAGGACAGTGCTATACAAAACGAAAAAGAGATGGAGCAAAATGCAATCTCAGGCCACAAAGTCACCCAGAACAACTGCAGAGGACACTAGCACAGAACAATTGTAAGTCACAGCTGAAATGTCTGAATCAATGGCATCTGAAGTAAAGAGACTACTGCAGAAAGGTATAGAGGAACGATACAGACTACGAAAAGATGTTCTAGAGAGGGACGAAAATGTTCAGACCTCCATGAACGAAAACAGAAAGAACACACTAAATATGACAAACAATTAAACACAGGAGAAAAAGGAGTAAACAATAGCAGGTAAATAACATGTCGATTGTAACTCAATACGTCACAATTATAACCATCAATGTAAATGGACTCAATCCAGCAGTTAAAATAAATAGACTGGCACAGTGGATTAGGAAACATAATTCAACAATATGCTGTGCACAAGAAACACATTTAACTCATAAAGAAATTCATAGGCTGAAAGTCAAAAGATGGAAAACAATACTACATGCCACAACTGCAATTCTATTCTCAGACAGTCTCAACTTCAAACCAAGAACAATCAAACAAAATAAAGAAGTCCACCATGTACTTGTTAGGGGAAAAATTCAAGAGGAAAAGGTAACACTCGTAAATATTTACGCACCAAACACGGGAGCACCCAACTATATAAGACAAATCTTAATGGACATGAAAAATCTAATATACAATACCACAATTTTAACAGGAGACCTTAATGTCCCTTTATCCCAATAAGACAGGTCAAGTACATCTGTTTAGCATATCAATACTTGACAGAAAATACCTGTTCAGTATTATGACTAAAATTTTTGATATTCAGACAGTGAGGTTAAGTTCAACTGCCTATGTTGTAGGGTAATACTAGTAAGCTTCTCTTCTACACGGTTAACAACCTAAGTTTGAAGATCAAAAATTAGAGAAAAAGAAGGGCTGTAAGGACAGCCAACATTTTGACCCTTGCCTTTCAAATTAGTGAAGAAACAGGGCTTAGGTGAACCTGTACTGTAGCATCATGGAACTCAGTTGTTTCCCAAATTTCCTGATCAAGAATATGGGGTCATAGAGGAAAGTGACTGATGATGTAGGCTGTGCCTAAGGAGAGTCACATGGGGAGAAAATATTCTCACAGGCTTTCACAGACAGCAAATTGGTCAAGCATTTGTCATGATACATTTACATGGCTGACACTGACAAGGATCTACAAACTATGGTACAGGGATCCTGGATAAATCCTGAGGGGTTTCAACTGACTTTATGTCATACAAAAGTTACATTTCTTATTATATCGGCTTTACTTTATATTGGTCTTAATGATTCAGTGGAAAATTATAAAAGCAAAGCATAAAAAGTAAATCCATATTAATATGCTGAGCTGTAAAATGCTCAAGTCAACAACTTCTGACATTGCCTATACTACAGATAACCCACTACTGTTGTGGACTGCTGGACTATATTGGAATATTTTGCTGAGTTCATGCACCTACAATATTTAAATCACATTGTAATACCCCTCTCTGACAAAACTAATACAAATTGAGGATACAAATAAATGACAATTTTGTATTTGTTTATTCAAAATAGGATAGATATGGAGCTGAATTCTCTTAATTCAATGAATAGAGATATTTGTTATAATAGTGTTTGTGGACAGGATATCATGTCTGTATCTTGTATAATGAATAACCACTGGGACAAAAATATGAAATGTATTAATTATTGAAATTGTGCTAGTAATTGGTTTTGAACCTATTTTATTGCTGTTTGTTTCTCATTAAAATTAATTTAGAAAAAAATGTTTTCAATATAATGCAATATATTTTGTCATTTTATTAATTAATTAACTAATGTATTTATTTATTTATTTATTTTGCAATACCAATTATTGTATTCATGACCCTGGGCTTGCCAGGCAATCACTGATTCTACTTAGCTATCTCCCCAGCCCATATTTTATTAGTTATTATTTTTTATGTATTTTTTAAGGTTCTCATTATACAGCTTGGACTCTTAGCAATCCTTCTGTTTTCAGCAGCTGCAGCGCTGAGATTACAGTTGTGTGCCACCATGCCTGGAGGCCAGCTTAGCACACCAGGGGTTAGGTCAGTGTGGCATGTGTTGCTGGAGATCAAACCCCAGGCCCTGCACTTGCCTAAGTGGGTTCTCAGTCCACTGAGCTATTTTTCCAGCCCTATTCAGTCATTTTAGTTACTCAAATATGTGCATTTTCCTAATACAGTGGTTCAACATCAAACATTCAGTGATAAAAAGGATTTGGAATTATTAATTCTGCTGATTTGATCAGTGCCCACTGCATATTTATATGAAAATATCATGTGGATTCCTGGAAATATGTACACATTTTATCTGTTAATACAGTTTTACAAGATCTCTAAAAATAGAATGATTATGCACACTAATTTATTTAGTGCATACTATATGATGGCATAGAATTGTCTTGCTGT